ACAGATGACTAATAAGACAACAAAGCTCAAACAATTAGAAAAATACAACGATATCCGAAATTGAGGATTAGCGTAAAATAATGGAGTGGCAAAGGTTACATTTAGTCGACAATAATTTTGGGACGAAAAAGCGCACGTTGGTGAACCATGCATCAAACGAAAACTTATGGCTTGTAGATTAATCTAACGGCAAACAATAAGTATTACTGTTTTGAAAGCTTTAAATTAAGTGAAATAACGCCCGTAAAAGTAGATTCCGTTGTCTGTCATCGATTCTTTGTTTCTCTTTTCACGTCAATCACCTCAACACTTGACTGGAGTCCGTCTGTTGACACTTTCAAATTATATTTGAATCAACCGGAGGACCAATGTTGCCAAGACTAGCGCAACTCACCTAGACTTCTGCACTTTGCAAACTGAAGCTCAAAGGGAAATTTTAGCAAATATTAATCAAAGACAGCCCGGAATACTCAAAATGTCAGGTTTTCACTTTCAAAGTACCTATTAAGTCTCCTGAATCACGTCACTCAGCAGCGAATTCCAGGATATTTCTACTCATATTTGATTATCGTTTGCACCTAATTGAGACTTTCATAGCATCGCTCCAAACCATTACTACATGGACACTCACTCTACCATCATATCTCACTGCAGTAATAAGTTGTATTATTATTTATCTAGTAATAATCATTTTTGTTTCTTCTTTTTGTTATTCATCTGGCGAAACATACATAGTCGTTTATTCTTGTTCTGTGTTCACCAACATGCTTATTAAAATATTTACGTATCTCGCATTTCCTTCATTTCTATTTCCCTATTTTCTTTCTCCCCCTCTTCCCAATCCACTCGATATTCTTGTCAATTACACAGGACCTTACTTATTACTATCACTACATCTTTTCTTTATTCTTTTTTTATTCAAATATGGTAAAGGATATGTTTACATTGTTGGAACTTGTGCATTATTGCATTTCTGAAGAAACCCGAAATGGTTTTGTAGTGTAGTGCTTCGTTAATCGATCGTCTTGATAACCGTTATTATAACAATCTGAACGGTGTATAATATCAGAAGACAAAGGGAAGCAGCAACTACATTTTTATTGATAACTAACATGGGCTAGAAGGCAGTGAGCACATTAGCAAATGTAAGCAAGCGAAGGAAAGATGACGCAGAGTGGAGATGGCTGGGAAGCCAACTCGCTATGAGCAAGCATTAATCAACATTTATAGTCAGACAAAAATGAATGACAGACATGCGATGAATAAGATATGAAATGTGTATACACATGCGCTCATATAAAAAATATAGTCAAGGTCAATAAGCGAATAATTAACAAGATCAAAATATGACTCATAACATTATAGGTGAATTGGCTTGTCCAGAAACTAGAATAAGCTACGTAGGTGTAATAAAGTAAACGACGTTACACTACTCCCCACAGTTTCTTCACAACAATTATGTACTCATAAGATGTTTGTGAATAATAATTGTTATTCTGTGTAGTACTGTTAAGATTTGTGTTTAAGCAGAGCCTAAAATGCATTTTGAGAGATGCAAAGAAGTATTTAGGAAGCTCTAAGTCACTAAAAGGTCACATTCACTGAGCACACATCCAGTGATTTCAACACAGTTCGTATAATTTGAGGTAGTGCCTTCAGACTAATTTCGTGACTCGCCTTTGCATTCATTCTAGTGTATTTTTATTATTTGGGAGAGAGAAAACAACATATTTCTATATGTTAAATAGGGCCTAGTAAAACCGTTGAAGATCAAATGGAAGTCTTTGTTGTCAAAATTGGAAAAATCACGCTTCAACATTACTAATCTGAGGACTTTTCGAAAGGCATTTTTCCAAGTGTCACTGTTAGTCTTTAGACCATAATGAGGCCCAGATCTTTTTTCCGCCTGCGATTCCAGTAGAAGGAAGTTACTTGGGTTGCATTTGCAGTCTGCAGCACATCCAAGATGAAATACTCTTGCTTTGTTAATGTTGATTGTACATCTGCTGTTATCCACTCATTATTTAGGAAATCTAAATTTTTCTCTGAAACTACTGATTTCATTATTTAAGTTTGAAGTAAACCAGACCATCAGTGGTAACTGCATGTCTATGACGTCAATAAATAAAATATATGTCTGACTCTATAAAATGCTTTCGAGAAAGTAATATTTATCACACGTAACTTCTTCTTGCAATCAAAGATGGTTGTCCATCTGTTCAACTCAGTAATCAGGTTGTCTATACAGGAGTAATCTCCCTTGCAGCCGTATTATTGGGGTGTTAATTTTATACATATTAAATATTTACATAGACCGTCATACATCAAGGACTCTATAACGTTTGAAAAATAATGGAAGAGGTGCTACCGGACGGTAGCTTGGAGGTCCATTGCGTCAGCCTTCTTTTAAAAATTGTTGAGATTTGTATGAGCTTCCACATTTCTGGAACGTGTTTTGGGTTAGAAAATGTGGGGACATCATACAAAGCGTTGTTACCACGACGGAAACTGATTTCTTCAGTACAGCATAGGAAACCATATATGGGTTAGGAGACGACCCTGTTTAGATGACATATAACAACCCAACGCTCACGTTTAATTCTGAGACTCCTGTTGTGTTGAAGGTGAAACATTTGTCTTCGCATGTTGTATGTGAAGGTTGAAATGTTTGAAACCAATGCTTCATCAGAAGATCTAAGGCACCACCGTTGTTGCTGATTAGACCATTAGGACTACACTAACAAGGAGATTTCAGTTTTGACTTATTGGAGGACGGCTACATGACGAAACAAGCCTTCCAGATTGCAGACAAATTCGTGAGTTACGTGAGGCGGGATCGTGGATGAGCACTGCTGAGAAGTCCCACAATAGGATGAAACTGCAGTCCAGTGCTTCCAGGTTTTGTATGATGATCTAGCTTCAATTGACTCATGATTTCAACTATAAAATTACTGAAATCTCCGCAAAAGCCCCTTCTGATATAGATATGCATTGTTCATAGGTTTTCATTAAAAATATTAAAATACTACCAGTTATTTCAAATCTCAAAACACAATTATATGAACGAAGAATATTCTTTTCAATAATTTCTCATCAGGTTCTACAATTATAAATTAATAATCCATAAAAGAAGATTGGCCAAGTTTAAGGCGGAGTACATCAATTTAAGAAACTGTAATATGTGAATCAAGGATTGTTTGTCATATAAAATAAAATCAGATCGAATGTAACGACTATACTGACTTAATGGAGACACTGCAGCTATTCAAAACAACTCATCCGTCTACAAAATTCACATGTGAGGAGGAAAATGGAGGTAGGATCGCTTTTTTAGATGTTCTCCTTACAAGGAGAAAAGACGGTTCATTAAAGAGAAATATAAACAGGAAAACATCGTGGACGGGTCAGTATACTAACTTTCTTAGTTTTGTTCCTCTACAGTACAAAAGGAACCTAATTAAGACATTACAGTATAGAATCAAGACCATTTGCTCTGAAGATGCGGTCGAAGAAGAAACAAAAGCATTATATATGACCCTGAGGGAAAATGGATACCCGGAGAAATTTATAAACAAAAACATAACTAGTAAAAGAGACCATAAAGAATGTTTAACTGTGAGTAAAAAGCCTCTGTATATATGTCTACAATTCAGAGGTGACTCACCTAGCGAAATGGTAAGATTGAAACTACGAAGATCAATCGAAAGGACTTTTAATGCAGGTAAACTACAACTAATGTTTTCCACACGCCCAATGATCACGCCGACGTTGAAAGATAAATTGCCTAGACTAGCCACTTTTTTTCTGTATCTATCAATTCAACTGTTCCTGTTGGGCAAGTTATATAGGCAGATGTTCTAGGAATTTGTATACTCGGGCTCGTGAACACCTTCCAGTGTGGTTAAGCAAAGGTGTAGTCAGAACGGTTAACAGCTCTGTTTTAGCCCATTTAGTCCAGACGGAACATAGAGCCGACATCGAGCAATCCTTCACAGTAATATATCGTGTTAATAGTAGTCTACCTGATTCTGTCAGACTGAGAATCCTTCAGATGGCTGAGACAATTGCTATTCGGATCAAAAGGCCAAAGCTTTGCATCCAAAAGAAATATGTCCAGCCGCTCCTTTTACCCTGGCCAACTTCAGGGTCAACTTGTCAATGATCAATTTTATAATATAGTGACATTAATTTGATTAATGTTCACTTCTATATCTCAAACTTAGTTTATCTACACATCTTATCAGTCATTATTATTCTTCTTATTATTATTATTATCACACCTGCTAACCTTTTAGAGAAATTTATTCGTCATCCACCCCCTATCTACTATATCTGACCTATTTCATATAATTCTACATATTACGTAATTTCTGATTTGTAATCTCATTGTTCTATCTCTCACCCCCATGTCAACTATATATATTCTGATCATTTATCTTACGATTTCATTTCACCTATAAACTGATTCAAGTTAACGCATCATATTAGTCATCCCAAAAACATTAACGATTCGATCTTATTTTATTTTATATGACAAACAATCCTTGATTCACATATTACAGTTTCTTAAATTGATGTACTCCGCCTTAAACTTGGCCAATCTTCTTTTATGGATTATTAATTTATAATTGTAGAACCTGATGAGAAATTATTGAAAAGAATATTCTTCGTTCATATAATTGTGTTTTAATACGATGGGAATTTTTCAGCGATTATTTCAAATCTCTATATATTTTATACCACACTATTAAAACAAAATAAATAAACATTATGTTCTACAAAATCTGAGATCACATTTGCAAACAGATGGAATAAAATATGAAAAGTAGGGATTACAAAAATATGCAATACTTCATACAGAATAAAAAACAGCTTTGAAATCACATTTAGTTACACATTATTCTTGAATAGTAACATAAAAGATAGTTTAAATAAATGCAATATTTATGGAAAATGTTACATAACTACTGTCTACATCAGTAATGATAATATGAAAGAAATTAGCTAAGAAATTTCTCTTCAATACCACGAGGTAAAAGTTGTTCATGAGGTAGTAATACACCTTTGCGTTCCTTTAAAATGTAAAATAAAATAAAAAAAGATCATGAAATAAAACAGTCCGTCAGTCAGCTACAACGTAGAACCAGGCACATTTATGCATCGGTCCAAGTTGCCATAAATGAAACAACTGAGCATTGTTATCCATAAATTCAAAACAATATGAATTTAAATAGAGTATGGTTCTAAATGACCGGGTTCAGAGTACGAAACAATATTGTTTTGAATAACTATTAATATTAACCGTTATTACATACATAAACGAATTCATCTCCTTTGATACCAATCAAAAGTAAGAAATTAGGTAATTACTACAATATACAGTTGTCGAATAATGGATATTGAGAGGTTATTCAAGGCAATATTATATCAGTAGAACAGAGGGTCATTTAAGCCAATAATATGTATCATTTAGTTCTGGTTTGAAATTTTAAATTTATTTGTGATCTACTCATCATTCAGAATATTCAACTGTAAATTCATATCCCTTAAATGTACCACTTTACCTGGAACATTTAAAAAGAAGTTGGGTATCACATAGTCGGAAGACTTGAAAACACCAAGGTTCCGTAAAGATAACAATGTGGTACACACATTAATTATTGAATGACATAGTAAACATCTTTTAATTTTGTTGAAAGCGTGAGTCAATTGAAGCTATACCACCATAGAAAACCTGGAAGCACTGAATAAAGGCCGTTTCGTCCTATTATGAGACTCCTCAGTAGTGCGCATACACGATTCCGCACTCGCGAGATTCGAACCCAGGACCTACCAGTCTCGCGCCAGAGCACTTAACCGACAGACCACTGAGCCGGCATCCAACGGTGTTAATGTCTAACTTCGACTGATCCACGAAGTTGACTTACGCTTTCAACTATGAAAATACTAAATCTCCACAAAACCCCTTCGGATAATTTTAATTTTGTGTAAATGTTTGACAGAAATATGATTATCATTTGATACAGTAAAATCAAATAATATTCTACAGACGAATCAATCAGATTTCAAGTCGTGACTTCAATGTAATAACGAATGAGTTTGAACGATAATGTTGCCTATAGATAGCTCAATTGCCAATTTTATTAATGATGTTATACTACAGCATATACGAAACATACAATTAGGAAATGCTATTATGTATGATCGTGGTCATTAAATAAAATTCAGAAAAAGTGAAAAGTCACGAAGTGAAGACGGGTTTTTATGAAATGTATAATTGACGTATGTCACCAGCATTGTGACTGATTGAAATCAGTTCTACTTTGTCAAGGTCAGTTTAAGAGCCTATGAAGGCCGTTAGTAAAAAGTATTTTTACCGAAATGTCTTAAGATAGTCTAGCAGTCATAAAGTGAATATTAGCTGGTTAGTGACAGAAAACATGATGACCATATCTTTTTAAATAAAAGCTTACCTTCATTACTCCAGTTTTTTCAAATAAAGATTCACCACAGTGTCTAAACGAAATAAAAATGCCATAAAAATGTAAGCAATGTTTGGTACATATATATAGAAATATATTCTTTCAGACAAGATTGGAAAACAAGATGAGAAAACGTGAAGTTTAGAGAGATTTGGGTAGAACAATGTAAAGGATTAAGTTCATTAAATACTGATTAGGAGAAGTAAGACAATAAATGCGCTGTCAGTAAGAATAGTGACAACGAGGAAACTTAGTGCCTTCATACTCATCGGTAAAAAAAATAAATAGTCATGAAGTGTTTTGTTTACAGAATTGATTTAAATTTACTATTAAAGAAAGAAAATGTACCAATTAACTCCAATGTCTTTCTTTATTGTTAGATAATTGGAAGCGATTATCATAAAACCATGATCAAAAATAATGAGAGTGAAACCATCAACTATGAATTACAATGACGGAATCAATGTTGTAACCAGTGGTTTGAAAAAGGCAAGCGAATTGTTCAATAATGGATGTTATTAGTATAGGGGATTTGTGGAGGTTGTATTTTCACAGTTGAAATCACAAGTCCATATAAGCTAGACCAACATTAGAAACTTAGAAGCACTGGATGACCGTTTCATCCTATTATGGGACTCCTCAGTGATACTCACCTACGATCCCGAATAGGAGAACTGAACCCAGGACCTACGGTTTCGGGCGCGAACGCTTAACCTTTAGACTACTAGTCTGGTGTTTGTTTGATAATATCATTCCGTTTTACCGACATGATGTGGCATTTTAGACTGACGATGCATATGTTTCAGTTTTGATTTGTTTATGAATGACTGCGTGATGTTGCAATATTAAGTAAAAAAATCATATTTCATAAATGACTACGAAAATAGATTTTCTCAAAGTACAAGAGACAACTGCAACAATTAATTGACTGGTGGGCACAAACAACAGTAAAAACTGTAAAATAAAAATTCAAAATAGTTGATAATGAATACCGAACCGTCAATGAACTCTATCAGAGAGTCGACATGACATAATATCACTGATATCAATGTTTGCAGATAACCATGGATATTAATTGGATAGAATAAACGTCGAAATTACGGATCAGAAAAAACTATAAGAATGTCAGATAATTTCTAAAAGCGTGGCATTCAGATTAATTAGCGATTAATAACCACACAGATATAGACCCAATTTTTGAATCCACATGGAAGAGGTTAATCAAACACAAAGTCAGAGGTTAACCGATAAAAACACAACGTATGTAAAAGAACAAACGAAAACAACAGAATCCATGAGAACATCCAAACACCAACAAGGTCACTGGAACAAAGTGACATAAAATTTATAGCATAATTAGAAAAATTCACTTCTACATGAAGTAGGCGCTGAAAGTGTGAATGCAAGCTTCGCAATTAAACCATCTGGTTAAGAGAACACAAAACCATCAACAGAGAAAAGTGGATATTGACCTAAAACTTAAGATCAATTAGAATGAATTACTTGCACTGAATTAACTGTTCTGTGAATGCTGTGCACTATAAATAAAATATCAGTTATATAAGGATGGCCCCCAAAAGCCCTGGTACGGCCGAGAGTGGGGAGAGTCACCTCTCCCTCTCGAAATACTCTCATATGGCCAGCGAATATATAGCCTCTGCCAGGGAAGTCCTACTCACTGCCTTCTCGTGGCGGGGGTGTTGTTCACGAAAGTGAGAGGACGAAAAGCGAATGTCCGGCGCTTTAACCGGGTTGGTGGATGTGGAGGATCCACCTAGGGGAGTTGGAAAACCCTGATTCCAAACCAATGGTGCACATGGGCTCCAGTATCCTGATGGAACGAATGGCGGACGAACCTGTCATTGGTCAACGGCTACCATGGGACTGCATCTCCTTACGATGCTCCACTGCCTTGTGGATCAGACATTCAGGTCAAAGGCTCCGGGTGTGGCCCCCTAAGAAAACCACCTGCTTCAGTCTGGGCACCTGGGCAGTATCACAGCCCTCACACAAATCGAATGAGATTTGTGAGGCGCATATTTATCTGGTGCTTCATTGTACCAATTTTTATGTGTTTAAATAAATAAATAATAAACAGTTATATAAACCTGAATTCACTTGGTATTGTTTGTTTGGATCTTCCCATCGATGTGTTTCGGACTGCAACTGGTCAGTCTCTAATTGGCATATGTGCATACTGTGCGTATTGCCTCGATATACCTTAATTCACAAGCATGGTAAGCAGAGATGGATAGTGGCTAGCAGTGGAATCCAGGACGCGCGTTTCGTCCTATTTGGGACTCGTCAGCTGGATGTACCTGCAGTCCCAGAGTGAACATCAACTCTGAGATGCAGGTACATCCAGTTATATAAACCTGTTTTCGTTGTTCATACCGTGAAATGTAAACACACATACCAAACAGTTTTCATTAAAAATGTGCATACTAATAGGTCAAGGTTATATGATGACTGATTGGGGTAGATGTTGAATAAATCACATAACCCATCTAGAAGGATTGCCTATATATATGGAAGAATTTGTAAAATTTTATCACACACACACACACAAAAGAACAATAACCACATCAAATTTTATCGTAACTCACTCGCATGGTTTTGAAGGATAACGGTCTAATGATACAGTTCGTTTTGAACACTGACGACAGCGAAAATAATGTTTGAAGCCCTTTAGATATTTAATTTGGTGATTACTGGTACGACAGTTAGGAGCTGTTTTAAGAGCACGATAGTTACACTAGAAATAGAAGAAAAGAATAATCATATTGGGGCATACTGACGAAGTGGTTAATCAAACAATAACTTCAATCATGAAAATGTAGGTTGGGGAGGGTGATCATTAAAAATTATTTTGTTTAAATTCAGCCAATTTTCCCCTAAAACAACCTGAGTATTTCTTTTTTCATATTTTACACATTAGCCAGTTAATCAAGAGCAACGTAGAACCTGGCATATATGTGCATCAGTCCAAGTTATCACACTACATCAGCACAGAATGACAAAACTGCCTAGACATAAACCAGAGTAGTAGAGTTGGTGACACCATTGTTAGTAGTAGAAAAGACTAGGTATATAATTCAGGGAGAAAGACTTCACTTAATAAAAAACCGTAAGATAATTTTGAAACCCAAAACTTACGAGAATACAAAGAGTGAACAAACATGTGCGCTTGCGACTGATTATGAGCCACACCACCCGAAGTCTCTAAACGTTGGTTACGATAATCACTCGGATCTCAATCATGTAGTCTGCATCTAACATAACCCCATCTAAATGTTGATGATGAGCTGACACTACATTTTGTTTTGGCAGCCACCTGTTTTCTTAAAATCTACTCCTAAACCAATAAGCATCGCCCTTAGAAGTTAGCACCAACTGGCGATACTTAAAACATGTATATACTTCACAAATTAAGTCTAAGAAAATTGAACGACGAGGAAATAAAAACTCTATAAACATGGTGATGAAATTCAGTGAGTAATCAAAATGTAGAATACTGATGGTAATCTTATGGAGTATAACTTTTGCACCACTAGACTTAATAGTTTAGTTATGACTGAGAAGTGATAAGTTATAATTAGACTAGAGTTTTACAGAAACTCAGCTTTTATTGGTGCAACTTCATGATAATTGACAAAAAAATTAAAGACCATTAGAAGAATATAATTGTGGTTCTATGGTGTTTAGTAATGCTATAAGTTGATTGTTGTGGTAAATTTTTGAGCCAATCAGAAAGCAAAAATCAGGCTCTTAGAATAGATGTCTAAACTACAAACCTCATTGTAACTTATTGGCTAGATCACTAGAAAATAGTAATTAACAGAGATCGGTCAAAATAATATATTGTATACCAGAGCAAATTTTTAACTTGACCCACCAACTGCGTTCAAGCATCAGACATTCGCTTTTCGTCCTCTCAATTTCCTAATCGAGATCCGCTCCACGAGAAGCCAGTGGGAAGGACTACTATGGCAGAGGTTATATCGCGTGGTCATATAAGAGCATTTCTGGAGGGAGAGTAGACTCTCCTCACTCTCGACCGTACAAAGGAATTCGGGAACCAACTGAGGATAAATCTAATTTGACGTGACAACTAACACAGAATGTTTTCACATCACATTGGAAAGGATTAAGTAAATTACGGAAGAAATAAGGGGGACACCAAACATAAATACATATAAGAATTTGGTACCAAAGGATCTACCACCCAAACTCAAAACCTCAGATCATTGACATAATCTATATTTTTCACTGAATTATAAAACAACGCATACAGTCTCAGGCGTAGGATCTTAGTGGTTACAGTATTTGACTTTCAATAATTAGATTATAGGTTCGATCCCACCTAGTTCAGTTTGGGTAGTCCAGACAGTACTAATAGTTTTTGAACTAAAAATATGTAGTTCAAAGTTGAATACATAAACTTATGCCTGGTAAATCTAAGTTGTATTGATGAAAATATTCAATAATATTTACCGTTTCACATATTACATATGTACATGCTTCTTTATCTTGATTTACAAGTTTCTGTTCAAATTCATCACGTTTTTCTAAATTATTCAAACGAATTTGTTCAGTTTGATTTTCAAGTACATCAACTAGATTTTTATGCGCTGAACCTTGATTAATTTGTTTAGCTAATTCAGTTAATTTTTTTGCACGATTTTCTTTTAATAATTTTCGAGTTGTTTCATCATTTGAATGTTGATTAGTTTTTAAATCCAATGAAGATGATGATGAAGAAGAAGAAGTGAGTTTCGCACGTTTTGAAGGATTATTATCGAGAATTTCAGATAAAACCCTGTATAAAAGTAGACGAATAGGAAAAAATTAATGTATAGGGTGTAAGATAGAACCTCATTATTTAAGTCACCCCTAGTAGGGGATCGTGATAAATAAAGTCTAAAATTAAAATTAAAGTTCAAGAATGACATTAAATAAGAGTTGCACTGGTTCATAAAATGATTGAAAATGGGAAATGTCGATCAGTAGGTGATAAATTAATATTTTCATAGTTGAAATAATGAGTTAATTGAAGCTAGACCACCATGGAAAACCTGGAAGCACTGAATAAAGGCCGTTTCGTCCTATTATGGGACTCCTCAGTAGTGCGCATACACGATCCCGCACTCGCGAGATTCGAACCCAGGACCTACCAGTCACGCGCCGGAGCAATTAACCGATAGACCACTGAGATGGCCGGCACCCGATGGTGTTAATGTCTAACTTCAACTAATCCATGAAATTTGAGCAACCGTTCACTATTTGTCTTCAGTGAGTTCCTATCTCGCAACAGACGTGGTTGAATTCCAATGGTCGCTGCTTCTCACTAGAACTCCAGGAAATACCTCTTGAACGAAACGGCTGTCCAGTGCTTCCAGGTTTTCCATGGTGGTCTAGCTTCAATTGACTCATGATTTCAACTATGAAAATACCAAATTCTCCACAAAACCCCTTCTGATAAATTAATAGTCTAAATGAGACATATACACCACGTAACCCTAAGCTGTTAAGTTCGAGTCACGGGAGTGAAGTTCCAATCCCACATAAATATATATCAATATTTCATTATTATGAGCATAAATTATTCAGCAACCCCAATACTAACCAATAGTATCTCGATCTATACAGTTGAACATATTTGATTTTATGGAGGTCTAAACAACTAGATTACGGATTCTAGATAATAATACTTTAATGAATAAAATGAAGTACACGACCATAAAACATTTCTAGCTGAAATTGTATGAAGGCTAGACATAGAATAGAAGATTTTAAGCTAATCATTTTTAATGGAACATGAGAAAAATATTAAAATTACAAAGTTTTGATGTTACATACTTAAGCATCTCATCTTAAGAGTTTGATACACAACACGAGTCGAAACACCCACAATCATATTGCATTAAGTACTCACAATACATAGACATGAAGAATATGCCTTCAAACTCCTTGTTCGATTAGTATTTATAAAATAAACACCTATGAACTATGTGTAGCCGGTTTTCTCTCGGAATCCCAAAATGACAAGATTTTTTTGGTGAAAAAATCATCATTAAGCGTAAAACTGGGAGACCGAAAAAAACAAATGTTCTATTATTTGATGAATGATTTAGGCATATTTCCTTTTTTTATGTACGATTTATTAAATCCTATTCAATCAACGAAAAAAGTAGGCAAAATACTTACGACACTTTTGAACAAGATGAAACATTCGAAAAATTTGCTTTCCGTTTCAAAGTTTCCTTTTCAGTCATTTTCTTCACACCTCCTTGAGCATTAACTAAAGCTGTAGCCCGCAAACGTGCTGCATCTGTTATCAATGATGAAGATGATGACACAGATCGTGACAATGTTGTCTGAGAAATAGTCATCAATGGTAAAGGACCTAAATCAATAAGTTGTTCTGATTTATTACTCAGACTAGGCTTGATATTGGCAGGCAGTGTCGATACTGAAGGCTTATGTTTTCCATTAATATTAGAGAAAAATTCAGCAAATGTTACATGAGATGGTGAATTTAGACGTGAGCTAAATTCTTGAGAATTGTTTAGAGATTTTTCAGAATTTGATTTATTCACAAGTCGTTTAGTAGCAGTTTTGGATATAGCGGAAACCGGGTTACTTTCAATTTCTTGTTCTAAATGTCTTAATAAATTTAAAGAACCAGCAGATGGTCTACGTAGTACAGATACAAGTTTGTTTTCTGCTTCATTAAGTTCGGTTTTTACTTGATTATTGTGATTTGGAATATTTTCTGAGTTTTCTTCGGTTAACTTCTTATTACTTTGATTAATAATAATTGGAGAATCCTTTCCTGTAATTAATGGGATATCCTTGTCAGATAAATTTGAGTTTTTAATATTATCCACTGATGAAGGGGATTGGAATGATGATGATTCTTGCGATGTTTTAGTCATTTCTGGATTTTTAGCTAATCCAATAGATGTATCTACTTGATAACCAGCAGCTTTTAATTTGGTCAAACTCAGTTTAACTTTGGCTGAAGATCTAAGACAGAGTGAAATAATATGGAGAGGAGGAAAATTACAAAAAATATGCATCATTCAAGTGAATGGAACAACAATAATGTCAGGTTTAAAAAGGAAAATAAGGGATTTAATGGTAATATGTTACATTTGAAACAGGTGAGGAGTTCTAGACAATGATTATGTAAATATCCAGTTCCTTGATTTAGTATCTTGTACAAAATACTGTTTTTAATTTTTATCCCCACAACTACAGGAACTTTTCTCGAAGTTTATTAGTGGTTGAATAATACCGAAATAAGAGTTGTGGAGATCGATAGCATAATACAGCGAATAGACAGATGGATAGTGTGTGTGTGTATTGGTGTCTTACATCAGGATGATACAGTCGTTTAGTACATAATCGTTTTTAATAATTTCGTAAATGATCATATTCTATAATAAAAACTTACATAAAATTTTACTTTTCAATCCACAGGTCGTGAACAGTGACTTCATAATTAAATAAACCCACAAAAATTTTGGGGGACCTATATAATTTATTTGACATTTATAATAAATAAGTTACCGGTTAGTAGCCAATGTCACTTATTGCTAGTCAATAGTGTTGATTGCATTCAACTAATTAGGCATAAAATCTAATCACCAAACTGACTAGCGAGAATCAAACTAAGAAGACGTCCACATGATAATAGTTAACAAGCACGAGACTAACAATTAGCACACTTGTTGTTAATTTTCAACAGTGATTTAACATTACTGATACAGACCTGACTTCTGTTAAGTTTTTGATTAATACACATTTTAGATCACAAGGGGTTTTGTGGAGATTTCAGTATTTGCATAGTTGAAAACATGAGTTAATTGAAGCTAGACCACCATGGAAAACCTGGAAGCACTGGACGGCCGTTTCGTCCTATTATGGGACTCCTCAGCAGTCCAGTGCTTCCAGGTTTTCCATGGTGGTCTAGCTTCGTTTGACTCATGATTTCAACTATGATAACACACATTTACAAAAAAACTTTTAATTTTATGGTTCTGCGTACTACTTTATTCCCATAAATATGTTATTCCGTTTACAGTAAACAAAATGTAAGAAATGAGCATAACACACAGTAGACAATAAAATTAAAAAAAACCAATCGAATAGAACAGAAATGAAATTGTCTTAGAAAAAACTACTTTACTGATGTATTTATTTCTCTGTTATCATTCAAATGTAGGCTTTTTTTAGTTGAAACGAAGTAACAGCAAGTGTAACAGATCCCAATACACAGAAATAACACACTATTCAATGTTCAATGTTACGAAAAACACAATTTCTGGAAAATATAAAAATCAAGAATTCTATTTATCATAAATTTTTATCCTACCACGTACACAACAGGTTTGTAGCAATTATCGACCAAAAAATTTGTATTTATGGGAAGTGTAAATACACCTGGTTCAGGTGTATCTGGGGGACGATCACCAGTATATCGTGATTTTCGTTGTTGTCCACCGAATCCTGGTAAACTATTTTAAGAAAAAAAAATAATGAAAAGAGATATCTAGAACAAAAGTTGGTATATAATTCAATGAACTTTAAAAAAGCTGAAGGTACTAGCATCAACAAAGCAAGATTAACTATTTTCTCAAGAAAGATTTTACATATTATGAAAATAACATATGACAGTTATTAGAAATACATTTATTTGTGTGAAGCTTAGAAATCTAAATGAATAGAATAAGAAGTTCAAGTTTGTGTGAAGTATTTTTTTTTTTGATAGAGACCTCCAGAATAATTGAATATGAATTAAAGATAATTCAGTTAGATATTAATGAAATTATTAAGGATTGTTTGATCAAATTTGGCATTGATCTCTGAGCACAATATCACAGTGAATTAACCAATACAATACAGATGCACTTGAAATTAAATAACTTGTTACAACTGAAGATACACTAAAAGTTACTAAATAGAGTTTAGAGTTTATTCTATGCACGTACCTTAGTTTGATGTAAGTCTACACTTATGTTTAGTCTTGAGGCAGATTTCATTTAGTACGAAAGTTAATTGTTATAGGTATCAGGTAGAGGGTAGTTTGAATATGAAAATTTACAGTTTTAACTAAGAAAGAACTTTCCTACAATATGATGTCATTAATTTTTAATGCTACCAGTTCACTATTTAGGAATCAACAGAGATATGAACCACGTTATCGTATTACGACGTAAGTGTTTAGATCTTTCTAAGAAGAGTGAGATTCAAGATAACAGAATAAATCAAACCACTAAACTATATATATAATATGTCATTAGAGAGTTGCAGTTATAGTGTTATTTACATGAAGTTTTATTACCTTGCACTCACAAATCCTGGACGCGATGTACTTGCCTCGATATAAGCTTTTTTCACATGAAAATCACAAAAGCGACAAATGCTTCTGAAGATACAAGATAAAGGAAAACACACAAAATACATAAAGTATTAAAAAAACATCAAAAACCTTCAACCATTAGTAGTAACTTCATGAAAAATTGGTAAGTTTTATTCCTAACGTTCAAATTAACATCTGAATTTACTAAGTACATGACAGTTAATCCCCAACTACAGTTGCTATCTTAAAACGGTGGTCAATATTATCTACATGAGAACCCAATAGATCTAAATTAGCTAGAAAATTCGTTGTTTTAGATCCTACCATGACAGGTAAGTTGGTTAGAGAACGGTGTGGGCAAATGGTAAGTGATAACCTTTAACAACACACGAGATCACACATTTAAGATTATTGACTAATCAGTACAAGAATTGAAATTAGCGTCACAGCTAACGGTCTTCAAGAACTTATTACTTCGGTTGATACTTTAAAATTTACTAATAACTATTGGCATACGATAGTAAATCTACTAAATTTGCAATGAACTGTGTGGAGGAATCAAGTAGAAATGAAATCCGAACGTTCACACATAACGCTGCATTTTAAAATAGTTGAATACGAAATATATCAACTAATGAAAAGCATTTAATTAAGCTTTCGGTAGAAATTTGATAATAAAATATTGATGTATTTGTAATATCCCATCTAATTAGTGGGATTTTGAATAAAGAAAATTACTTATTTACTCACTCTGATGAAATGACTTACACTAAGTAACAAAACATGAGAAATTCAAAATTCTATTCACAAATATATTATAATTTAATTACTAAGTAGCCATTAAATCTAATCTTGACAGGAGATCACAAAGTTTAAACATTTTTATTTAATTTAATTTAAACACATAAATATTCGTACAAGGAAGCACCAGATACATATGTGCCGCGCAAATATCATTCGATTTGTGTGAGGGCTGTGATACTAGCTAGGTGCCCAAACTGAAGCAGGTGGTTTACTTAGAGAGCCACACTCAGAGCCTTTGACCTAAATATCTGGTCCACAAGGCAGTGGAACATCGTGAGGAGATGTAGTCCCACAGTTACCGGTGACCAACGATTGGTTCATACGCCATTTGTTCCCTCAGGATACTGGAGCCAGCCCATGTGCACCACTGGTTTTGAATTAGGGTTTTCCAACTCCCCTAGGTGGACCTTCCGTGTCCACCAACCCAGTTAATGTGCCGGACAATCGCTTTTCGTCCTCTCAATTTCGTAAACAACATTTTTATGAAACAACTAAATGTTTCCGGTGTTAGTTTATCATAAAAATAAGTTTATTCATAAAACTATTATTAGAAAACTTTAATAAATAAAAGTGAAACAGAATAGAAAAAGAAGAAAACATAACCCATTTACTTATTGACAACATGAAAACATGATTGACCAGATTTTGTTGTTGCATTACAAATTCCATAATCAGGCGATTCACCTAAGATCATAACATGTAATGGTGATTCCAGTGTAATGCTAACATCTTTATCATCTGTAAATGACTAAATTGGAAATATTAATTGTAAAAAAAGAAAGATTAAACAACCGATATGAATATAAAGGTCAACATAAATTTGATGAACATGTGTACACAGCTTGAGAACTAGTGATTGTATATCGTTGTTCAAAGTAAAGTAAATAAATAGGGATTCCAATCTGTAATAAACAGATTGAGATACCAATTGTTTGTTCACTGAGTCAACAATCTAATTACTTAATGATGAAGGTTAATTAGAAGAAAAAAAGGTGAAAAAAACAAACTTAATGAATCAAGATATTGAACTGTTGTTTCTTGTAAATGTAGTTATCTGTTTACAAATGAAAAACTGATAAACTTATGTCAATTTTTAAAGAAATTCTTCATCGTACCATCAGTAATCATACATTAACTAAGATTGGTGCTTAGTTTCGATGATTATACTTATTATTGTTGGGATGATCCTGCAAATTACTCGCAATAGACATGACAAGCTCAGGATACATTAAGCATTTTATCCACTCAGCGTTTGATTGGAAGTTTTGCTAGAAAACATAGCGAAAATGAAAAATCACATGTAGAGGTTCTGGTTGATTGGTTACTACACTGTTACTATGTTTAGTAGTATTCTAGAATTTTCAGTAAAATCTAAGGACTTCTAAAATACCACAAAAACCCTATATTTTCTGTACATAAAGAGACCTTTGGAGTAAAGTGCTTCTTGCATATATTGTGCCTTTTCTCTCGTGTTCAAGTCGCTGTGTAGTTCTAGCTTGGGGGTTACGAGACTAGCTTAGGATCCGAATATAGCGTACAATCAACAAGACTTATCAATTATCATTAACTTTATTATTTTGTACCACTTTTAAAAGTCAATGTGATATGTGTAAGTTTATGAACTTCGTTATAAACAATTTGTTCTTAGAATACTTGAAGTAAAGCATAAAGTGATAAACCACGATGAAAATTTTTAGTACATCTTCAAAATTTTCATTTATTTTTACACAACGTGGAACAGAATCGTGATTTCCAAAGTTACATAACTAGACTTATTTTTAAAATGACTTCTCAACTTCACAGATTATTTACGCTTACATGTTGGAGTTTAGCATCAATTCCTGACCAATAGACAAGCATAGCTTTACGTACTCATTTTTGAGCTACACACGTACAAAAAATTGAAGCAAATCAACGTAAGCAAATTTATGATGATATTCTTGAGTTTTACTATTACTGACAACCAGCTATTGAAATACCAACAGCAATCAAATTACAATTTCAAATACTTTGAACGCTTGAGTATTGCAACAGAAATCAAAATGTTTGCAATATCAAGCTAACAGTACTGATGTTTACAATGCTTTCAGTGGATGTCATAACAAACATATAGAGTGTTTGTGGAAAGGGAAATAAATGTATCTACTTAGTGAACAAAAATATCATCATCAAGAAACACTAACTCACGGAATTACAATAATTCAAAAATGGTAGGATGTTACTTTAAGAAAAACAGAAAGCTTTTTATAAACTATCTGGTGATTGATTAAGAAATAGTCGATCAGTGTGCTCCCAACACGATCCTGCGCGGAACACGCTTTAATCGAATCTATATCCCGCTAACATGAACATTAAGAATATCGTACAAAAATACAACGCGAAGGTATGTATAAGGGAATACTGGGAATTAAGATCGAGAAGACGACAGAAAACAAAAGCATCTATCCAATTGTGATCGATTCCGAGTCATATCATTCAAAATCTCCAACAACCAATCCTGTTTATCGATCGGACTGGAATAATAATTAAAAGACACTGTTCTTAAAAAAAACTATTCACTTAAAATAAGCACTTACTTCCCCAGAGCTAAGTGAGCGAGGATTTAGAATAGCAACCACACTACCTTCAGGCTCTTTCCACAATTTCTCATGGCAGTTACCAAACAAAAACAGTTTCAAACACCCTGATGAAGATCCAGGACCAATATTTTCCAGGTCACTTAGACACCAGACAGAATAGATGCGGTCATTACGAGAGCGACGTGGAGGCAATTTGGATCCAATGACACCAACCACAACGGCTTCACTGGTAAAAGACTTTTTAGCGTTATTGACAAATTGGTGGTTACGATGACGTTGAATATATTGAGGTAGAGTGAGAACCTCACGATCAGAAGTTCTGCTGGACCATAGTTCAGAGGAAATTCGTGGCCGACTGGAATGAGATTACATACAGTGAAGCGCATAGTCAATGAGTATTCGAAACACATTTCATCACCATAATTAACAGGTTATCAATTGTGCAATCATCAGCAAATAAATCAATGTTCCTAACTAGTTATTTAAAAAACTACTAAGCACAGATGATATCGTGAAAAACATTCTTTTGGATCACACCCAAAATAATGCATACCCACTGACTCTTGAAATATGAATTCACAGGACGTTTTGTCCCCAAATGCCCTGGTTCGGCTGAGAGTGGGAAGAGTCCACCCTTCCTCTCGAAATGCTCTCACACGACCACGCGTATACAGCCTCTGTCAGGGAAGTCCTACTCACTGCCTTCTCGCACCAGGGGTGTTGTTTACGAAATTGAGAGGATGTACGGCGCTTTAACCGGGTTGGTGGATATGGACGATCCACCTAGGGGAGTTGGAAAACCCTGATTCCAAACCAATGGTGCACATGGGCTGGCTCCAGTATCCTGAGGGAACAAATGGCGTATGAATCAATCGTTGGTCACCGGTAACTGTGGGACTGCATCTCCTCACGATGCTCCACTGTCTTGTGGGTTAGACCTTTAGGTCAAATGCTCCAGGTATGGCCTCCTAGGAAAACCACCTGCTTCGGTCTGGGCACCCGTGTAGCATCACAGCCTTCACACAAATCAAATGAGACTTGTATGGTGCATATGGATCTGGCGCCCCTTTGTATTGGATTAATGTTTATGTGTTCAAATAAATAAATAGTGTGAAAAGCACTGAGAATCAGTTCTAATGACTAATAGTTTCAAGCTCAAATAAATTAAGAGATATTCGTGACTATTAGCAAAAACTGATATATTTACCTAGCATTGACAACCATTACTTAATGCAGTTAGCGGAAAAGAAGCAAAAAATAATCAATAAAACTTACTAAACTCTAAGTTTTGTAGGGATCGCAAGCCAACAATCTTTATCAACTGAAGTTGATTGATTGTTATTATTTGAAACAGGTGTTATAACAGTGGATTTAGCTGAAACGACAGAGTTAGGAGTGAATGAAGATTTGTTCAGTGCAGAGACTATAAAAAACAAACAAAAATATGCTAAATAAATAAGTTAACAAGTTTTACAATAAGTATTATGATTATGTAATAAACTAAACAGATTCAAAAGTGTGTAATAGAAAAATTTTGAAGGTAAACAAATTTCCATTTTATGTTCACTGTCTACTAAATGATTGGTGTATGCAATTTAATTATTTTTACAAGACAAGCTTCATTAAAAACATGATCTTATGTATTAAACACTAGAAAACAAAACGTAATTAGAAATTCAACAAGAAGTAAATATTGTCATTTGAAACTCACTTGCTTTTTGACGTCGTGAGGCGCAGGCTGCCAAAGCAATACTAACTGAATTATTATTTTTATTATTACTTTCATTGAAAGTAGACGATGATGCAGAATTCCTTTTTGTTACCTCTTCATCTAGTTGAATTATGTTATTAACATGACGTTCAATTAATTTATCTTTTTCTAAATGTTGTATAACTGATAAACTTTTCTGAATACTAACTCCATTTTCTGTAAGTTCACGATCATTTTCATCTATTTATGCAATAAAAGAAGACTGAAATAAATGTATAGAATAATAAGCAGATATGATTTCTTACAAAATGAACTAACTTTTGAAAATAATGTATATTACCATTTTAGTATTTTAAAAGTGGGCAGTTGATAGGATTAAAAGTAACCACAGAAGCGTACTGTTGTGATCCCCTTGCCCAAATAGTTGCTGATAGACCATAAACGTCATAAATTTGTGTTAATTTTAGTAAGTTTTTATCAAATTTTCATGCTAAAAGAACGCTAGTTATGATACGAAAGTTAAGGAGAGTGTACTACTATGAGGTTAAGAAAACATCTGGGCTACCTGTTCCTGCTATCTAGATATTTCAACAACTTATCTAATTTTGTTTGTTTTAATACATTAATTATGGCTATTAATGGCATAACCGATTCAGGTGCGTTTCTGAAAATTGTACAACCTTTCGTTGTACAAGTTACAGAAGGCCCAATCAGAGATATCGTGGTTGCTGGTAATATACAGCGAAATGTACATTATTTACATGTTAATTTATTGGAATGCTAACTTCTAACTGGTGAACACCCAATATTTACTGTCATAATCGACCAAAAATTAAGAAACAGGGACTTGTTGAAATACTTTGTGCTGAGAATTCTATATTGTACTAAAAATATAATGTTGAATAGAGCTAATAATAATAATATAAAATAATGAAAACTGACTCTTCGATTGAGTTATTGGTCATGTTTACTAATGGCTGAAGGCATTATAAAAATAGTTAAATAGGAAGATAGATTATTGGTCATTCAGGTCCATTCGTTTACGGCATGGTTGTGCAGTGAAACATGTTTACACAGTACCAAAACTATATAAGTCATATCTCAGTTGAACAGTCTTCACGAATTGGCTTCTTGATACAGTTAAGCTATTTCCATCAACCTTTCTAAAGTTCTGTGAACTCATTTATCAGGTTAACTGAGTATGAAACACAGTAGGTATAAGGGCTAATGATACTGCCCAGTTGCCTAAACGGAAGAAGTTGGAGCGGAGTCCGGTCCTCGGAAGTAGCTGCCAGAATTCAAACGTCCTAACCACTAGTTGTTAATCGACCCGGGAGCTAGTAAACAACGAGCTACTTTCAAAATGTACGGGCACCAAATTTTTAAGCTGATGCTATATATTGACGAGAGGAGGGTAGTGTTAACATAGTTAGGCAGCTGATGACTTCCTAATAGATATCATTTTAAATCAAAAACCACAATTTTTGCAGACAATAATAATTGTATACATTAAAATTTGCAAAATAACTAACCGTCTTCGATCCCGTGAAATTGATTAATATCATAATCATCACTACTATCGTCACTTAAATTAGCTTCACCGAACAGTTCATGCATATTTGGATTGATTTCTTTTTCATTCAATAACACATTGGAAGGTACCGAGCCAAACAACTCGTTGACACCAATATCTAATTTAAGTGCAGATTTGTAAAAGCATATAAAACAAACTACATCAGTAACAGACTAAATCTGAAGTTGATATTCGAAAATTCGTATGTGTCACGACAGTCAGTTACAACGTAGAACTTCGTACGTACGTACATCAGTTCGAGTTGCCATACCACATTAGCACAGAGATGCAGTTGTCGATTCAAATCCAATAGTGGTAGAAGTAGTAAGAGTATAAGCATTGTGTGAAAGATTAGGGTTTGAAGATGTTATTGAAGGAGTATAATCCAATAAAATAAATTCGGAAAGAGAAAAAAGATAGAGACATGAAGAATTCAGAAGATTAGAATCTGGAGGAACACAAAGAGTGGATGCACCTTCGCCATTGCAAACGATTTTGAGCCATGTCATTCAAGGTCTCTAACCATCGATTGCTATCATCTCGCGAATCCCAACCAGGTAGTCTACACCTAACAGCATGGCTAACTCTAATTGTCAGTGACTTCATGGATTTATGCCACGTTTTGGTCTGGCCGCCCCTAGCTTTCTTCCAATCTACTCTTACACCATAAAGCATGGTGCTTTTTTAGAGAACAATCGGAAAGTACCACATAACAACCTGAATAAACAATTTCAAATATATAGTGGCTAGAAATGATATATAGTTAGATTCGAGTAACAGGTAGAAAAAAATCTACTTCATTAAAATATTTTTCTTAATAACAACACGAAAATACAAGAAACTAATACACATGTGAAAAACATGTCTTACCAAAAAATCAGATAATAGTTCTATCTTTCTGCTACATAACTTTGATGATATGCTCTTAACTGTACTGAAGTATATACACACTGAATTATTATTCAATGTTAAACCGTGACAACGAAATTAACTCTATAGCCCATCTTCACTTGATAAATTATGGAATGATACAATTCTTTAATGTACGACTGATTATTTAAAAATGGATCTACTTTATCTTTATAAGCATTGTTTTCTTAAAGGACAAAATACAACATGAATCAAATAAACAGACGTTGTCACGACAAGTTAATCAGTACAGTCAATCGAAAACAATTAACAGTTTACAAAACAAACTATGGATTTAACGTAGTAGTAGTAACAATAATAATAATAGTAACCATGAGAATCCAACTCATTATATATATTATGCTATAAAGTAAACTTATTATTTGAAACGTAAAGACAGAATTCAGCCGTTCAAACTTTATTAAGTAAAGCGGGACTCGTACATATCATCTACTGTTTGAAAGTGTAACGTTTAACCAACAGGTAAATGGTTCCATCACCATCCAATATTAGTCTTTATTGTATACAACTGGAGCATAAAAATTCGGCAGACCAATACAATCAATTTGATATAATAAAATAGCTTTATTTCCATCATGTATTATTTAACCAGGTAGAATTCCCCGTATGCATGTATTATTCAAATATTAGTTTAAATAAATAAATAAAATAAACCTACCTTTGATAGTATTACAAGTTATTTTGTGATTAGATGATGTAGCTATCTCATTGGATAACTTGCTAACAGTATTATCCTTTGTATTAGTCGTTGAACTTGAAAGAATAGTTGACAAATCAGTTTCACCCATATCATCCCAATCACTTTCACTACCATCAGTCTCTTCATCATCACTGTGTGCGATGAAATCGTTGATTTCTTTTTCAGTTAATTGGATATGATTTGATTTTCGTTTGAAATTCTTGCTTTTTGAAGAAATCATGACGCATTTCTTGGAATAGAAAACAGAATTATATAAAAAATACATTAGGGAATCAACCTTTATTTTATGAATACTAGTCTGTGTTTACGATGCCCGATATATATAGGAAAAACCATGTACATCTCATTTTAATATACCTATTTTTATGTTAACTATACCAAAACAGACAGAGATAATTGAAATAAGTCACACAAAGTGGATAGCTTCAATAGAAATTCTTCTACACATTATTCATAATTAAATCAGCAAGTGTAAATGAAAATTACTTACAAACATTTAAAATTAGGGAACAATGGAGATTTTTGCAGCTTAGTTTACAGGGCTCCATATCAGTGCACATACGCGACTCAGTAAAAGAGCATAAAAACCTTTCCGCTGTGCAGCTAGCCTGATACTGTTAAGAATCAAATAGTTCACACTTTCCAGCTTTATACAGGTCATGGTAGGGTGCGACCGTTATCCAACATCATTAATACGCATCCACATTACCTTGATTGTTTGCATGGTTTCCCAAATGATATTAGTGTGAGATGGAAACTACCTTCAAACCCTGTAAACCTCCACAAATCATTTATTAAGCGGATAATCATTACTAACTTTTATATTACTAACACAGGGACATTTGTTTACGGTTACAGTAAGCGGAGATTTACGTCTGATTCAGTGTTCGAGTCCCATGGTACGATAGATGAAAAATAGTCCGACCAAACTGATTATACAGACAATAATCAACCAGCTAAACAAACAGACTGCCAAAATTATTTTCCGGACATATAGACTAAACGTTTCAAAACCATCAACATCCTGCCTTCATTAAAGAAATAGACAACGGTTAAACTGAAAAATCGGGGTACCTGAGGCTTTTAGTAAGTAGTTTTTTGTTCAGTTACTACCGTGTAGCATAGCAAGTGCGCGTGAGGCATCAAATATATGTGTCATGAGCTTGAGAAATTTAGCCTGTCTCTATGATTCCATGTGTGATTATTTATTGGTAAAAGTTTGGAAAACCAAAGAAAAGTAAATACACATATCTTAACTTGTTTTTCTGTTTACAGCTGTTTCATTTACAGATTTTAACAGTACACTGACGCAACTCGTAAAGCCAACAATATCTTGAAATTAATTCCATTTTATTTTAATCGGAAACGCGAAACGTAAAAGCCGCTAAAGTGGCATGGAAATGTTACAAATACCTTGTATTGCATAAATTATACATAGATAAATTTGCAGATTCCTAGACCCCTGGTCATTAAATATAAAGTTTTGAAAAGCCTAATACTCTATACATCCGCCGAAAAGCATCTATTAATGCGAATAGTAAAACTCAAGACAGTCATATCAACTGCCTTTATATTACTATTGCAATCTAGCTCCGTATTTCTGTAATGGAAGTTTTCAAGTTTCTTATAGTTTTAAGAGCCTATTATTAGTGGATAAACACATTTTTTTCAATACTGTAATGTGTGACGAGCATCTTAGGAAAAAAGCCACTCAATAAAAATCCGTTTTATAGGAAAAACCGAGCATAAGTTGCTCTGTATATTTACAAAATGATCTGCAAAGTTAATAGTTACACGATCTGAATGTTAGAAATTATGTGCAATATCTTAAAGAATGGTCAAAAACAATGCTTATTTATAAAAACTTTATATGAGAGCACTAACATGAGCTCGGAAAATATACATGAACAAACAGACTGAATTTGATTTATTTGAAGTTATAAAGTACTATAAATAAACAAAAACAGCTAAACCGAGTAACTACTGAAAAAGGATGTAAATATATTGTTCAGGTTATAGGTTGAAAGAGAGTTATAGTTCAAACGTTTTCCAAGTCAAAGAGAATGAGATAATAATTAAACATAAACTTTAGAGGGAGATAGGGTATAAATCCACTCATACCACTGAGACCGAGTATGAACCACACCACGTAAGATCATTAACCGTTGATGGCACAAACCCCAACCAACAAATATTAATTTACCAAGAAGGCTCACATCAATAGCTTATAACTTTACAGACTAATGCTACATATACTGCAGAAAAACGAAACAAAAATCTGAGGATAGAAGCAATAAATCAAAACTATTTCAACGTGATATGCAGTACTTTAGCCAATAAGAATTCCTGTAATAACCATATACTGTCATACAAGCATTCTTGGTAACATAAAATGCAAACGATAATTAAAGTTCTTGAAACCAAGCAGACGTACGGGATTACTAAGTGCATATTAACATAATAAGGTTGCACAGCAAAAAAAAGATAAAATATTTCCTACTGATTTTTTTAAGAGCAGCCAAATAACATAAGTACTTATGAACAAAACATTTTAGTGTATGATGTTTATCTCAAAATCGACTTTCATTACTTTTAAAAAGCAACTTTTTACCTGCAAAGAATTTGTGGCGTTAAAATGTTTCAGTGAAATATTTGAGCAAACTAAAAGACACATTGACAAGTTACTCAAAACTCACCCTATACTACAGAAGTACTCTAAAGCTCTCTACATAGAATAAGATACGTTAGTGAGTTACTGAGCTACTATTTATTTAAACACATAAATATTGGTACAAAGAGGCACCAGATATATATGCGACACACACATCTCATTTGATTTGTGTGAGGGCTGTTATACTGCCCGGGTGCCCAAACTGAAGCAGGTATTTTTTCTTAGGGGGCCATACCCGGAGCATTTGACCTAGAGATCTGATCCAAAAGACAGTGGAGCATCGTGAGGAGATGCAGTCCCATGGTAACCGGTGACCAACGATTGATTCATACACCATTGGTTTTGAATTAGGGTTTTCCAACTCCCCTAGGTGGACTTTCCGTGTCCACCGGACCGGTTAAAGCGCCGGACATTCGCTTTTCGTCCTTTCAATTTCGTAAACAACAGTAGTGCCACGAGAAGGCAGTGAGTAGGGCTTCCCCGTATCAGGGCATTTGGGGAAGTATAAAACACAGTTCATCAACCGTGTGTAGACTTTCATGAGTTTGAGACAAATCACATATATTGTCTTGAACATAAGTAATTAAAGCAGAGAGCGAACTTATGACATGTTGGTTACAAGCCAACTGCTTGAATCATGGGCTGAAAAGATGACCACAACCCAAGTATATTACCAACATCATGAGAGATATCTCCACAATCATAAGATTAATAAAAACGAATAATCTCAGTAAAATATAATTTACTATCAGCCACATCAATAAGCCACTCAAAAGCATTTGATTTATGCTCTGTTCAAGAGGTACAGTGTATATAGACTTTATCAAATCAGAGTGTACTTAAACCATAGTAGTATCTACAGAATGTATTTGGTAAGATTTAGTGAAAAGTGACAAAAGGTTTGAGAAAACTAAAAGAAATGAAAAGCAGACACATGACAGCACTTTATTTACTAATGTTGCTTTTAATGTCCAAAACCATATTATTTCTTGGTTATTTACATTTAAAAGCAGTTTTTGTTATGAACTGATATACGCCGGACCAATCGAGTAAGTCACTAGTGAGCACTCATTCCACAAGCTAACTAAATACTTTCTCAAATCTCCATAGTTTACTTATCTTTGTTGATTTGCATGAGATTCGAGAATTTAAGATGACTTCATGTGATGTTGAAATTATGCATGTAAAGATACTCTATAAAATACATTTCCCGAGTTTCGATAGGAAGCATGCTAAGAATTGTCTAATGACAAATAACCACCGAACTTGCAGAAAAACTGAAATTCCAAGGGGTTGATTATATTTTAGAATAATTTTAACCAGGAACAAGTTTGTGTAGTCGACTTTAAGCTACAAATTTGCGCGACATCTAGTGAAACTGTCCAAACCGAAACACGTGGAGAAACGTTTGAACCTGTAACTTAATCTTTAAAAAGTACCTTGAGTAACAGTCCACTACTTAACACAATTATATATACCATTTAAGAGGGCAGCCTATCAATACATCGGTTTCTTCACAACCTAAACAGCGAATTGATATCCTGTGGCGCAAGTACAAGTATTGAGATCTCTGGTCGACAAATACAACGCATTTGAGAATAAAAGCTTTTCATTTCCCCGAAATAGATGTGTAAATGTATCCACCGGTAAAATCTTTTATGAGTAAGTTTTTGAGTTTTCTCTCTGGAAAAAGTATATGCATCAACCATAACATACCAGTCGTATTCAAATTTTAATGACAAATACATAAGATAGAAGACTGGAAGATGATATTCAAATGTTTAATAACAATTGACATGCATGGCACTTTCAAATGAATATTAACAATTAGGTGAATTTATTAATTTACAGAAAAATGAATAAAACCAAAGTCAGAGATATCAATGGACATGTATATATGGAATGCATGCTGTTAAAATGTGAGTAGAATAATTTACACATATATACATTTTTCAGTTTTTAAACACTGAAGGATATAAAATGCAACTCAAAAGTGAATGGTACATATTCTTTTTAATATCGATTGCTTTTACAAGAGGAGTGATTGCCATTGTGATGACTCAGTCGAACTGATGACGACTGATAATCATTATCTTGTATATTTTTGGGATCTGATACATTACTATGAGATGCTAAAGACTCACGTGAATTCTTGAGTGAGTTGAGTACACGTTGATAACCACCGTGTACACCAGGAAGATTTTCAAATGGCCTATAAGGTTGTATACCCATACTGAAAGCTTCCAAAGAAGGACGTTTAGGTGGTTGTGACGATAAAAATGAAGACTGGTCAGTAATATCATTAGCAGAATCGTTTCTAATAGTCAAGGGACAGAGTGGTGTGGGTGTTCCCTGTTCAGGCTCATGAACGATCAAGACATCTGGATTTGAATGAAGTTCTTCAGCTTCATCTAGAGTCTCTTCCGTTTGTGAGCTATTTGAATTAGTTTCACCAGACTCCGAATCGGAAAGTGTTATAACAGTCTCAACAGTTTTCTTTTTACCACAGGCTATTAAAATCAAGAAAACGGATACAACAAGTATGTTTACAAAACAATTCAGAAAAGTGAAGATTGTGTAGTCAAGTATCAACTGAAAATATGGTTACGGACTTATAAACACAATATCTTAATCAAATAAAGTCTTTATCGACATATGGAAACTAAGAGATATGGTACACTGAAAGTAGCTGACCTGAAGAACATCTCCGAAGAAACAACTACCCAACAACTCTTAAAGAAATCAATATAACAGCCAAATATTACTTTTTGCTCAGAAATACCATCATTATGCGACCACAGACTGACATTACACTACCACTAGACTAGATCCTCAATCAATATGTTCGGCACAGACTGAGGTCATCTTATACCAGACACGAGTAAACATGAAGAACTAGGCGATAAACTCGATAATACCCTGCTTAACACAATCAAAAACAGACCATACTAACTGAGTCCAAAATTTGAACTAATAGTGGGAAGAAAATCACATATTAAATAGTAAGTTAAGTGTCTATCTGTCCACGCTCAGCAACCAATAACATCTTAGTTTTAGTAGCCGAATATCAGAAACAAACAGACCAAGAAATCTACAATTTACAAGCCGAAGAATGATATATTGTTGAATAAGAAAAAAATAACCATCGGCAAATACCATGATATATCTAAAGCTTGATGTAGGTTAGTGTGTATAGAGTCCCATAAACACTGTGAAATCATTTATCTGTACAATTAACTCCGTATTGTGATAAATTCCCAAGATTGGAACACACAGGACAACAAAAACTGAATGTTTACAACATACATAAGCGATCATAAAATGAACATTACTGAAACCGGAGACCGAAAAGGGAAACTATATGTTCCAGCAAACACATTCATGGTACATAGACGTGTAATTACGGGATGAAATGGAAGCAACACTTCATGCTTACAACACAATGTTATAAAGAAACCTTGAAAATAATGGACAGGAAATAAGAAATTATATCTTGGAAGTAAGATATGGAGATAACTAGGACAAATAAGATCAAGTCATTCTACTTCAACAACTTTTATGTCAGGAACACAGTATATATGATATGAGCCACACATATTTTCAGGTTTTCGAACATAATTTACAAAATCCTGGCTGTAAACTGTAGGAAATGCTTTTTACTTCTCATATTTTGCGATGGCCAATGAATAACAATTATTTGTTTAGGATCGGTAAGCTAGGATCTACTGAGAAAATACACAGCCGATGTATATACTGACCAGCTTTATACGACTTACGTGGGTGGTTGCCATTTGTACTTGTAATATTGGATTTACCAGACGATTCGCAAGACAAAAAAGCATAGAAATTATCCAGCATATGATGTTTTTGCATCGGCGGACATTTCAAATATAAATAATCATCCCTAACTGAGCGATCCAACTCGACATTAAATCCAGGATAACCAATAAGAGCGCTTCTGTTGTACGACACTTTGCCTGTGCAAAAAATGCAAAACTTTGAAGATACTACATTGAAATTACACAGTAATACTTTAATGAGGGCAATGTAGTAAAATTAACCGAGATACACATTACTGTGAAATCTGCATCCATTAAGATAAAATTTAAGGTATACGGTCAAAGAACGGGTCGAAAAACGAGTGTATAAAGTGCAAGGAGTTCAAATAAAGCATTACCCAGAAATAGACCGAAATACATACCAGAGTATGGGAGAGCAAGATTGTCCCTTTTAATGAACAACTAACATACGGCATAAAGATTTTTAAAGTGATCAGAAAGCGATTTGCAATTTAAATCTCAACACATATGCTTGTAAAATAAACTTCAAACAATAACAATTGTGAGGTTAAGGATTCTATCAACCCCCAAAAGTCCTTGTACAGCCGAGAGTGGGGAGGGTCAGCTCTCCCACTCGAAACGTCATCACATGGCCACGTGCATACAACCACAGCCAGGGAGGTCCTAATCACTGCCTTTTCGTGACGAAGTGTTGTCTGCAAAGTTGCGAGGACGAAAAGCGAATATCCGAAGCTTTAACTGGGTTGGTGGGTATGGAGGATTCACCTAGGGGAGTTGGGAAGCCCTGATTCCAAACCAGTGGCGCACATGAGCTCTATAATTTTGAGAAAACCGATGTATGGACCTAGTTTTAGTCACCAGCCATCTTGAGACTGAGCTTTCTAACGCTGCTCACTGCCTTGTGGATCGGACCTTTAGATCAAAGGCTAGGGGGGTGGCCCCCCACCTGTTTCGGTTTGAGTCCCTGAGCAGTACCTCAGACCTCACACAAATTGAATGATTTATATGGCGCAAATCTGTTTGGCGCCTCCTTGTACCAATGCTTATATGTTCAAATAATAATAATAATAATAATAATAATAATAATAGCTCTAACGTATGAGAATTTATCGACAACTTTGATGGTAATAAAAAGGAAACCCTTATACTTTAATTGATGGAGCTACGGTTTCACATGGACAAAAATCCCGATCAGCTATCTTTACAGGGATTTAAGAACAACACTGAGAAACGGCAGAACTTCTTCAGAGTAAGTTATTTTTAAACTAGGCGAATGAGTGAGATCTGGTCGAGCGCTTCTTGACGACTCTGTTGTT